AACTGCATTCAGCTACACAGGTGAATGCCCCCTGAGCATGACCTCTCATAAGGTAGTCATCCCCACCCCCCCAACAGCACCCAGCAGCTGTCAGGTCCTTGGGTTAACACCCTCGCAGCCCTGCAGTGATGTGTTAACCACCCTTCAGCAGCACCCTCCGGACTCGTTAGAGCAAGCTGCACCCCAGTCCTGCAGAAGAGGTTGTCACCCCACCCTGCCAGTGCTACCCTTGGATTCCTGCAAGCCCATCCCCTCTCAACCAGTGCCAGTGGTTAACCCCATGCTACCCTCAGCATGACAGCAAGGAGAGAACCCAGGAGTCCTAGCTCCTGCTCCATTGCTCTAACCACTAGACAAGCCATCTTCCTGGTCACAGACCAGCGGGGCCAAGGTTCAATGGCTGGTGAATCAAAGAGATCAGTGGAGCAGGTGCCGCTGAAAGCTTTGCATTCGAGTCTCATCCCTGTCCCCCTCCAGCACAGTATTAGCTCCTGGCACACTTGTGAGCGGATGTTACCTGCCAGCAGGGCTCCCACTGGGCCAAGTGATTCCAGGGGCTTTGCGTGCGCATCGCTGGATGTGATGCAAGTTCCCTGCAGCCTGCCCCAGCCCTCACCTTGTAGCTTTGCCACAGCAGCTGGGAGCAGCTGCTCTGATGCTCTCCAGCACCCCTGAAGGAATTTTTCAATCACCTCTTCCAATGCCTGCCAGATGTGAGCAGCTGGGGCTTGAGATGGAACTGAAAGAGCTCAAACAAGGGCTTTAATAACCAGCGCAGGGCAGGCATTGTTTGTGATGCCACAGAAACCCAGTGGCCTTGATGAACTAATTAATGAAAAGGGCATGGCTCTGGCCAGAGGAGGAAAGGTTGGAGGGCTGGAGTCTCTCTGAGTGCAAAGATGGCTGGAAAGCGGCACTTGGAAGGCCTCAGCTGGGGCACTATGTCCAGTTTTGGGCTCTGCTCTTCAAGAAAGATATGGACAACCTGGGAAAAGTAAATCAGAGAGCAGTGGAAATGATTAGAAGAAAGGGTGGAAAAACTGGGCTTGTTTAGCCTGGAGAGGAGAAGACTGAGCAGGGATTTGATAACAGCCTTCTGGTACAAAAAGGGATGATACAAAGGGGACAGTGATCAGCAGTGCTCTATATCCACAAGGAACAGGACAAGGAAGAACAGGCTCAAACTGCAACAGAGGCAATTTAGGTTGCATATTCAGACAAACTTTCTCACTCTGAGGGTGGTTAAGTGCTAAACAGAGACCTGGAGAGGCTGTGGAGTCTCCACCCTTGGATGTTTGTATGAGTAGATTAGACAAACACTTGGACAAGATGGTTTAGAGAGAAATGATCCTGCCTAGAGCAGAGGGTTGGACTAAACGTGACCTCCAGAGGTCACTTCCAGCCCTGCTTTTCTAAGGTGCCAGGATCTATTCTGATCTCACCATGAGGCAGAGCTCTGCAACTTCCACTACCAGTGTCCCTTTGCCCAGTGTCCTCCCATCTCTGTCTTGGACAGTGATTTTGACTGGCCATATAATATATTCAGCCATCACGCCAGTCCAGGAGCACTCCAGGGTCTGTCCCGACAGCCCCAACCCCATTTCCCAGAACGGGCTGCACTGGGTGGGAGTGTAGCTGCCTTCTGGGCTTCCTTCTGTCCTGGGCCTCGCAGCTTTTGCTGCTGATCAACAAGTTGCTTTTTATAAAACAGCTAACGAGTTGCTGCCAACAAAGCCCTCAGGGGACAGGATTCAACAACACACAGGTGAAGAAGATGGAGCTGCCTTTATTAAACAAGGTTGGGGAATCACAGGCATCATCAATAAAACTGCAAGTGGAAGGGCTGACTTCCCAAACAGCCTCTTCTCCTTCTGGTCTCCTGGAGGTGGGGGAAGAGCTTAGCACAGTGTACAACCAAGCATCTATATGGAGATTTATTTACGTCGTTACTCAGCTTGTCCCCAGGCTTTATGTAGCCAGTACAACCCAAGTCATGAGTAATAAGGATTCAGCACAAGAACAAGCCAAGGGGCACAATATGTTTGATCCAAGACAGCTTTGAACCTTTCAGTGCCAAAGTTAAGTTTTCAGGTTGGGCCTGATTTTCAGAAGAGCAGAGCCACTAACTTCAGTTGAAGCTGGCTGCTCTCAGCACCTCTGGAAATCGGGGCCAAGATGCAGTTGTCCTGGGCTGGGAAGGAATCAGAGGCTCTAGAGTGCAAATGCTTCGGACCTCTAGAGATGGAGATAGAGTTTCTCTATTTATAACTAATGTCACTTCACACAGGATCAGCGTCTGGGGTTTGGGGTGGGGGGACATGGGGCAGAGAGCAAGAGGCCCATGAAGAGGGTATGCAAGGCCTAGTGACTCTCAGGCACGTGCACACGGAGGCTAATGGTTGTTAATGGCACTTGGCTGCTCTCAGGAAGGACTGAACCTTCTGACCTTGCAAAATGTAGCACAACCTGGGTCTACCAAGCATGTAAACTGATGGCACAGCACCATCAGGGCCAACTGGTATGAACTGGTGCAGCTCTATTGACTTCAGTAAAACTACTCTGATTCACACCAGCTGGGACACTGGCTGGTGGTTTCTGATAGCGTTCACATGGGTCAAGCATGGAGTCCATGGGATGGTGAAGGGCAAGTTCTGGAGGCACCGTGGCCTTGTAAGGGATTCAGGTATCTGGATGGTTTCACCTTGGGTAGGTGCCACACATCCTCTGCGGGTAATGTGTGAAGCCAGGGGATGGCATTTGCAACCAAACGCCTCCAGACCATGCTGTCTGTTGACTCCAAGCTAGCTGCATCCTTGGGACCAAATATACATAGAGTGGCCTCTGTTTTCTAGGTGTCCCAGTTCATGACACTGTCAGCCTGATTTTCCCTAGGCAAGGCCTGAGCACCTGCAGGCACCCAAAAGCACTGTGGGTGCTTAGCACCTTTGGGAATTAGATGGGGGGAGGGTCTCATATTAGCTCCCTCCCAAAACAGAAGGCCCCAGAACCCCTTAGGGGAGTTGTGGCCCTTCCGTGTCTATCCCATGGACTCCCCCTCCCTCACCTTTGGCACAGAAAGCAAAGCCTGCTTAAACTTTTCCCCGCTAGTACAGCTCCATGCAGTTCACCCACAGCCCTCCCCAGCTCTGGCTGCTCCTTGGCTTCACCATATTTTCACGTTGGCTTCCTCCACACCTGCTTGCCTCTTGCCGTATCGCAGGCCAAATGAGTTCCGGTTGTAGGTGGAGAGATCCTTCTCCCGGTCCACCAGCAGCGACCTCTGAGGTGCAGCATTCCCTCTTCTCCGGAACAGAGAGATCCCTTCCCACAGCTGGGCTGGGCTCCCCCGGCGCCGGCATGGGAGGGCTGGCATGGATTTCAGCTCTGTCTTCACAGGGCTGGGCTTTCTCTCCGAGCAATGAGTGGGGTTGGAACGGATGTCTACAGCGAAAGGGAGAGAGGGAGCATTAAGAAGAGAAAGGTCTTCACCGTAGGTGTAGGGTTTTTGGTTGTAGACATGTTGGTCTAAGGACATAGGCAGGCAAGCTTCTTTGGGTAGATGTGATATCTTTTATTAGACCAACTGAGTAGTTGGAAAAAAGTTCTCTGCAAGCTTTTGGGCACAAGCTGCCTTCTTCAGGGAGTCTCTGCTCTTCTGAGATGAGCAAATGAGCACTGGGCAGGACCTCTGAGCTAGGGCCATCTCTTTGCTGTGTGGATGAACGGCCCCAAGCTTAATCCACAATGTGCTACCATAGTACAGCTAACTCAGAAGTTTCCATGCGATTCCAGGAGGATTTAGACCTTATTGGCCAGGTTTTCAGAAGATTGAACCTCCTGCTTATCATCATATCTCTTGTGATAGTATCTAAGGGCCAACCAAGTGCCAGGCCTCATTGGGTAAGGAGCTGCACAAACACCAAGGAAAACACACCATTAAAAAGAGTTTGCAGGTGCCTAAATAAGGACCCAATTTTCAACAAGTGTGGAGACCTGTGTTTCTGAAAAGTGGGCTCCAATGGTGATCATCTAGACCCAAGGGCAGTGGTGCCCAACCTTTGCTGGTTCATGGACAATACTTGGCAAGTGTCATGTTAGAGGAACATCAGGCTGAGCTCATTTTAAGATTACCCTTGAGGCTGTGGGTAATGTTGGAGGGTCTTGAGGGTAACACATTGGGACCAGTAGCTTAGGAGCTCATTTTTCATGGGCGCTGACCACCTGGAGGTCTCATCAATTTTAACTAAAATCAGGATGCTCAGCACCTTTAACAACCAGGCCTAGGCAGGTGAAGGGGAGAACATGAAATTCAACAGCAAATAGGTAGAGCTCTTTCTCCCCAGCACCACCTGGGGTGACGAGGAACAATGGTCATAAGCTGATGGAGAATAGGTTTAGGTTGGAGATCAGAAAGCAATATTTTACAGTTAGGGTGGCCAAAATCTAGAACCAACTTCCCAGGGAAGTGGTCCTCGCCCCTACCTTGGGCATATTCAAGAGGAGGTAGGATGATGACCTGTCTGGGGTCTTGTGAACCCAGCATTCATTCCTGCCTGTGGCAGGGGGTCGGGCTAGATGATCTGTTCAGGTCCCTCCTGACCCTAGCTACTATGAAACTATGAAATCAGAGCAGACAAGGTAATCGTGTTAACACATTTTCTGATTTTTAACTGCCTGTTTGTTCAGCATCCTCCTCAAGCTGGCCCTGGCTGCTAGTGCTTGCCATAATACAATAATAACAATATACTGCATCGACCTTTAGGCTTCAGAGTGTAAGAAGAGCATCAAGCTTACTGTAGCTCCATTAGCAACAACCTTTCTTCCTCTAAAGCACTGCAGGCTAAGATAATTGGGGCCTGTGGATGATTACACTGATAATGTCTGTGATCTTCAGCTAACCCCTCTTGTCTAAACATAGAGCAATTTGGGGGCATGTTATCCCAGAAGTGTGAAGCAGCTTCTCCATCCTCTTTTTTGGATGGATGGATAGACAGACAGACACCCTTCTCAGTTTGTTAAATAACTCGTATAAGCCCTTGGGGATATGTAACCCCTTCGGCTCCATGGAGGCACCTTTAAATGCAAGAAGTCCAGGGGCTGCAATGCTACCTGCATCTTGGGGGCTCCAGCTGGAGACGTATCTTCCCATTGGTTCCCCAAAGAGGATGGTGAAGAGGAACAGAAGCAGCAGTGTAGAGCTGAAAGGATGCATCCTGGGAGGGCGCAGACCTGAAATACCAGACAGGGATGAAAAGAGCACAGTGAAAGGGATTACGCCAACCCAGCAGGTGCTTCTCCCAGCCCCAGCATTGCTGTTCTTGACTTATTATACAAAGTTTTTAAAAAGGGCAATGCCTGGCAGGATCCTCCTCTTGGTGAAGGAAGGGCACTTCGGCATGGTGTAAGCAAGGATGATGATCATCTAACTCGCACATCTGCCAACTGCCTCTTGCACCCATTTCACACAGAATGGTCAGTAAAATAAAGTATTGGGTCCAAGTGACAACATGCTCAAACACTGGGGTGGGTAAAAAAGGAAAGAGAGAGAGACACAAACAGAGAGGAAGAGACACAGAAGGAGAGAGAGAGATTGCATCAGGAATCTCATTAGATCAACACTTGTCTGAAAAGGTTTAATCAGGGATGATCCTGCCTTGAGCAGGGGGCTGGATTGCCCTTGCAGCCCTACTTTCCTATGATCCTGAGAACCAGCAGTGCAAGTAGCCATGCCCTTAATTATTCTTGCCATCACTGGAAGCTGTGGATCTTTATCACCACGTAGGATCAGGTCCCAACATGCATATCATTTGGAGCTGCACGAGTGCAGGACCTCGCTCTTCAGCTAACACGTCTGGGAGGAGAAGGTTCTCCGTGCAGCCTTGTTTCAGGTGCACACACACTGAACAGCAGGTGTCCTGAGTGCCGCTGGACTCCAGACATAGCTTCCCGCTGGCATTAACAAGGCTACTGACCTGCATCCCGCAAAGTGTGGGCCTAGCTCATTGCGCTGGAGAGACTCTTCTGCACAAAACAAAGCTAAGCAGAGACAAAAAGGATGCTGTGGCCCCTTGTTCCCCTGCTATTCTGTTCCACTGCTAATAGTGGATGAAAAACAGATCAACTAGGCACAGCCAACAGTATGCTGAGCCTGTGAGCGAGGGACGGCAGGGCAGGGGAATGCCAGGCTCAGCAATATGCCTGGCCAAACCTGAGAGAAATGGGAATCAAACCCACCCTGCACCTCCCAGATTTGTAGGGGTGTGATCAGTAGTTCAAAAGATTGATGCCAAAGAAAGCTATAAAGAGCTTCCTTCTCTTGTGAGATTCAGGGAAGGAAGGAGGAGGGAAAGGAGACAGTTGTGGTGTTTCTGTTGCATCCTTCCCAAGAAGCCTCGGTCCCACTCTCAAAGGGCACTCACCAGCCCCTGCTACATTAGCCTCCGGGTAACTTGTGTGCCCAGATCCTCAGGTGATACCTAGTCCTCTGAGCCTGGGACAATTTCATTTGCTGCACTGGTGAGCCCAGCATGGTTTTTCTTCCATGACAAGGGCTCTTTGCTGCTACTGCTGTACAAATAATAAGTAACACCCCAGGTTTTCAGTCCAGCACTCTCTGCGGGCACAAACGACACCCAGCTCAGCTGTGCAAAGGAGCCTCCTTCACCTGCAGATCCTCACTGCTCCAGGAACAAAGTTAATATTCTTTTCAAGTCACTCCAAGTCCTCAGGTCAAGTGTCATCTGGCTAATACTGTAATTTCCCCTCACACATTTTATCTCTAACCTGCTGTAGGTCACAGAAACAGATTACTATTATTATATATTTATAAAGAGCTGCTTATCTGGAAATAGCAGGGCTCTGCACCCTTTTAATTTATTCCCTTTCCGCTCTCAAGAAGTCAAATGATCTATTCAAGCCTCAATTCCAGGAAAATGGTCTGCCTTTCCTGAGAAGAATGATGCTTTTGCTCCCAGTGATCATGCTTACTTTTAATGTTGGTCTGATCTGAGCAAGTTCATTTATTACCAGGGGGGAAAAATAGCCTGGAGATATAAAGTAGTTAGGACAATCCCTTCCCGTGCAAGAACACTCTCAACTTAACTTACATGCTTTTATTCCTCTTTGGGTCTTTTTGTTCCTGGAGAGTTATAATGAAATTCATTAGCAGGATAAATGGACCTGAACAGAGCTCTGCAGGTTTCTGGCTAGGCTGGTTTTGGTACCCAAGATAGCTCATTGAGAACAACATATTTATATTGTTATCACACACACACACACACACACGCACGCACCTCTGTGAATTGGATGTTGGAGACATTTACTGGACTAACAGACCCTGAAACATGCAGTCCTCTCCTGGCCTGTTTAAGTATTGGAGGTGCAATTGGTGATGCTATAAGGAAAGACCTAGCTACCAGTGAAATCCTGGCCCCGCTAAAATTAATGGGAGTTTTTTCTCTTTACTTAAACTCATCCATTTCATTTTAGACCTGGATCGCATCAAAGCTGCCCATGCACTAGCAGTGCCTCGATCCTGGTGGAGAGCATTACATTGAGATAAACCAGAGCAGCACAGGACTGGGACCCAGGAGACCCAGGTTGTTTACAGTCCTACACTAATCCTATGATTTGAATTCAATGGCTTTTTCGTTTCTGCTAATGGGAGCAACACAAGGAGCCCAGGGGACATGTGCTCCCTTCTGCCCCTGCAGCGTTAAGCCCGGTTCTGAATTGCCTTGCTCTGAGCAGTGTTAGATTCTGTAGCCTGGGCTGCACAGTCACATTTCCCACATAGCTACCACAAGTACAAAAGAAGAGGTGTCAGAACAGGTGGGTAGACAAGGATCAAGGCAAGCTCCTGTTTTTTCCTGTGCCTAAGTTTCATTACACTGCTTGGGAAAACCACCGAGAGGAAACGATGCCCGCTGCAAGAGGCACGATTCCTCCCCACCTGGCACTTCAGCGGTTATGGTTTTTTGACCACTTGGTCTATTCCCTGGAACACAATGAAGTGTCCCCCACAACTTAGGGCACGTTGGGGTTTCAATGCCTCTGTGAAAAGCTAACTAAAGTTTCCAGCAGGAAGAATGGCAAAGAAATAACTGAGGCTGCCCACTTACCTCAGCTTCTCTTGGATGTTGGTGTGAAGAAAAGGCAAGCCGTCACCCTCTCCAGTCGTCCCAGTAGGCAAGCAGCTGCCCTGGCTGTTCAGATCTCTCTCCACTATTGTACCAACTTCTCTGTTTTATTGTATCAGCCGGCTGTGATGTCAGCCTCTGCCTTCCCCTTCGGCCCTCTGCTGCCAATTTAATTTCAAAAGATTCCCCATCGTCCTCCTCTCTTGATCGCTTCTTGCTGCAACGTGCAATTAAACTATAAAGCACTTGAAACAGGGGAAGACAATAGATCCATCTCCAGGCTTGGTCCTCAACTGGGGTCTTGCCATTTAATGGGGTTACACTGATTCAACCCCAGCTGGGGATCTCTTTGTTTCTAGTGTCTTCTCCATTTCTTTTCTCTTCCCTCTTGCAGGGCTCAGCCACATGTCGAGCTGCAATGATTCGTCATAAGGCGCAATTTTCAACCAGTGCTGCTCAACTCTTGTAAAAGGCTGTGTAGATGCTCCTATTTTTGTTCAACTGAAGTCAAGCATCCTAAAGCTAAAGTGCAATAAGCCGAAAGGAGAGTGTCCACACAGAGCTTTGCACCAGTTCACAGGAACGTAGAACTAGAAGCGGCCTCTTGGGCTATTGGGTCCAGACCCTGCATTTGCTTGTCTGGTTTAATGAATTAATGACCAATTTTATTTATAGATTGAAGATTCCTTCTCCCACCTCGTGTTTATCCTGTTGTTTTCTCTCTCATTAGGATCTCTATGTAGACTTTCACCAGCTTAGCCTTGGGTATGAATTTCAGCTAAACTTCTGCAATCCCCTGGATGATCCCCTAACCTTAGGATCTCCTGAGCTTGTATGAAACTCAGTCTACACTAAAACCTTTGCTAGCACAGTTGTGCTAATTAAGAGTGCAACAGGTATAAGATGATTCTCAGCTAGGAAGGGAGGTGGGGTTGCTCGTATAGTCCTACAGATATCAGTACAGCTTTTCTTGTAAAGCTATTTCAGAAAATGCTTTTGACTGTGGACTAACACTAAGAATGGCTTATTCTAGTTCAACTTAAAGTCAGCTGGAAACAGAGGACACATCTACACAAGACATTTACTGAGCAGTAGCCTAATAACACTGTACAATAGCATGCTGGTCAAAATCCATGCTAATAAGCTACTGTGCAATGTTATTAGGCTACTGTGCAGTAACCATCACAAAAAACCATGTGCTGGAGCTACTGTGCAGTAAAGGTAGTTACTGTGCATTCAGTTACTACTTCATTAAAGAAGTATTAAACTAAATGTGCAGTAATGACGGAGCATCAATGAATGTGTAGACATGTCCAGAGAGTGAAGCTGAACTGGAATAATTCATTTTTACATTGAAACTAAACTGCTGGCACTTGCTGCTCTGCCTCAGCCTGTTTAATTAAACCCAGCCAGGTTTGCATACAGCTATTCTTTTGTTGGATGAAACCCAGCTTATAGGCACATAGCTTGCACCTGAATGTGCAGGCACTGGATACAGTCAGCTTTCAACCAACATTAAAAGTCTCTATATACCATGATTGAATGGGATTGATTTTTTAAACCAATGAAAATCCAACCAGCTGTGTGCAGACCGGCCTTGT